TAAAACATACATACATTCAAATAAATAAACAACATTAAACAACAAAGAAAAGAAATATATCAAATAAATAAATAAACAAAAGTAATTAAAATCAAATTACGTAACTAGTTAATAAAAATTAATTAAAAATTTAAAAACTCATTAAAACTAATTAAAAAATACATTAAAATTACGTAACTAGGTCAAAAATTAATTAAAATTTTAAAAACTCATTAAAACTAATTAAAAAACTCATTAAAATTACGTAAGTAAGTCAATGATGACGTCACAAGGTCAATGATTACGTCACAAGGTCACCAAAAGGTGACCTACTGACCTACTTCCCCACCTGCTCACCCACCCTAGGGTGGGTGAGTATTTTACTATATGTCGTTGTACCAGGCTGCGCATCCTGCTCACCCACCCTCACCCAGGTGGGTGAGTATTTTACTATATCCCATTGTACCAGGCTGCGCCACCTGCTCACCCACCTTCACCCAGATGGATGAGTATTTTACTATATGTCGGTGTACCTCCACCTCCCCCAGGGAGTATTTTACTATATCTCGTTGTACCAGGCTGCGGCAGGCTGCGCCTGGTGGGTGAGTATTTTGCTATATGTCATTGTACCAGGCTGGGGGAGTATTTTCCTATATATCCTTTGCTCCTGCTCCTGCTCCACCTCCTGCTCACCCATGGCTCCTTCACCCAGCGCCTGCGCCTGCGGTCCAAAAGTGACCTAATATACTACTTATATTACATACCTCATGTTAAAATAAAAATAAAAAATGCATTTCCCTTTTAGAACCTGAAGTGGAGTTCACCTTTTTCTGCGACCTTGGCATATTAAGGGATAGAGTGCTAGCCCTATGACCAGCCGCCTCTACTTTCCCTACCTTGAGTAAGTGACACATCAGAGCTGGGTTGATTCAAAGACGCTCTACTGAATTGAACCTAAATTCGAACTCGAGACATTCGGGCTAGCAGTATAACCCTCTACCTATAGACCACGCCTGCCCACTATGGTGTTTAGTCCTTGACATATTTCCTCCGTTGACTTCGTGCATATGTTGTTAGTATATTTTTTTTAATTGTTTAATTAAACAAATATGTTAGTATATTGCTGTTGTTTTGAAGTTGAACATCTGAGAAGACGTGGAGTGGACGGATGCTGAGATTATTTATGATACTTGTGTATCGTTGTGTGTATTTTTTATATTTTAAATATTATAAATGTATTATTATTAATATTATCATTATTGTTATGATTTCTGCTATTACTATTAATATTAGCATTGTTGTCATTATTATCATTACCATAATCGTTAAAGGTATTGAATTATGTTATAGTCTATGTACTGTCTTGTCATAAGTGCCAATTACCCCCCCCCCCCCCCTTTTTTTGTATGTATATCTTTATAAAAATATTCCACTTTATTCTTTCAGCCCAGTATGAAATACATCTCTTGCATACAAACATCACAATTGAAGCCCATTATTTATTAGTTTCATATTATGTATGTACAAGTAACGTGCTTTAAGTTAAAAAAACAATCCTTTAGTTAAAACAGTCGAATGCAAATCTATTATTTTTGTGTAAAGACTTTGATTCACTTTTTAAAAACAAACTGCCATACTTGTCCAAACATCGCTCTAAAGTCTTGCACCATGATACACAACATCGAACGTTTCGAAGATTAACTTTCGCGCACATTAAATCTATAGTAACTTAAAGGGCTTCAAATATAATTTCTGTTAAAGTAGAGCCAGTGGCGTAGCGAAGTCGGGTGTCATCCGGTGCGGCACTTAATGGTGTCACCCCCCAAATGCGTAGCGAAAAACTTTCAATTTTTTATTTGCACCCCAACCCCCCCCCCCCCCCATCAACCTTTCGATTTGCACCTCTTAAAAGACTATTTAGCACTCGAATTTATCACTTAATTAAGTGGAATTATCACTATTCTCTATATTTTGCTATTTTTTGTCTTGGTGTAACCCCCCTAAATGGTGTCACCCGGTGCGGTCCGCACCCCCCCCCCCCTCGCTACGCCCCTGCATCAAAGGTAACGCAACACGTATGACTGCACCAAAAGTTTATAATAATTTAAAAATAATAATGTTTAACAATATAATTATATGTACTAAACACTTGGTAGTTTATAAGTTGTTTTGGTTTTAGCTTGAAGTCATTACACGATTCGGAAAAAAGATGATTCCGTCAACGAAACTCCTGAGTCATTGAGGAAGTGTAAACATTGTATTGACTGACAAAACACGATTGTCAACGATGACTTGAATTGTCAACTTCTTCCGAGGTTTGAAAATCTATGTAATAAATCGGCAATTAAAAGGAAGAATTTAAGTACTAAGATGTTTGAGTGTGTTGATTTTAAGTGGCATTGTGGGAATAATAACAAATCACGATGTTAAGATGACTTGACACAAATCATTTATCAAAATGTAACATATTATTACATAAAGTTGCATACTTATCTATTTTATTGCGTGTTTTTTTAAATTTTATAATTCGGTGTATTGCGTTATCAGAACTAGTATGTATCAACTCAGTTTTTCGCTTTTTAAAATACCTCTACACTATTCTGTTTGATGTCCAGCAAATTACAATGATGAGAATATTTTGTTGTGACATCGAATTAGCACTCGAATTAATCACGTAATTAAGTGGAATTATCATTATTCTCTATATTTTGCTATTTTTTGCCTTGGTGTAACCCCCCTAAATGGTGTCACCCGGTGCGGTCCGCACCCCCCCCCCCCCTCGCTACGCCTCTGAGTAGAGCTAAATATCTCAAGCCACCGTTTTCGCTTAGCTATTCCGTAACATATCTTTTGACTTGACATCAAAACAAGAAATGTTATGTCTGCAATTACCTTAAAAGAATGTCATAAATATAGCATTGATACGAAGGTTAAGTATTACATTTAAACAATTTTAAACATTCTTTCCGGAACTTGACGTCACAGAATCCGTAGACGATTGGGTTTGCGGCGACTGTGATGAGGTAGGTCCTGAGAAATAGGTGATAGAAGGACAGACCGACTGGACTTAGTGATTTATACGACTCGGGGAAGATATTTCTAAACAAGTCCAAAGCAAGGAAGGGAATTAACCCAAGTATAAATAGTAGACTTATTGTAAGTAACATACAAGTTGCCTTCCCTATTCCGCGAGGTTTCCGTTTTGGGCACTCTTCTTTCTTGAAGTTAGTGATATTTTTAGAACCTGGGCGGCTTTTAGACTCTTGAGGTTTACACGCCAGATTAACGTGATTAGCTAATCCTAGCTTTCTTAACATAACACTTTCAGAGGAGATTTCGGTGTCACTGTTGCTTGATTCCGCTGTGATGTAACTTTCAGAGATAGAGTTTTCTTCAGTCTCGGTGATAGATTGAGTTTGGTGGCTTGTTGATTCCAGATCTGAGTGTCTACAAAACGGATTTTTTCGTCTAGAAGGTGAGGGTACGTCTTCAAGTTTACTACAAAGTAAACCGCTTGCAACTTTATGTTCATTATTACTATTTGATTGGTTTCCTAAGGAATCATTGGTTGTAGAAGTAATAGACTTTGTTGATAAACTTGACGGTTCTTCTGTAATGACAAGTTTTTGGATAACACTGGTATTGTTTTCATTTCCGGGGTTATCGGATTTTCGATTCGTTGTGTGTCTAGCGGTGTCCAAGGTTGAAAGGATTCGACATCCTCTTGGCAATGACATCAGCTTAGATTCCAGAATCGTCGACCGGCTGGAATCTGGAGCCGTGTATGGATAAGTCAGCCGTTTAACACACTCTCGTTCCATAGTTGTTGAAGGTTTGTTTAAGTTAAGCTCCGTTTCCTGTTTAAGCTGGTTGATATCGGAGCTTGATGACCAGCGCGAATTCTCCGACTCCGACACCTTACCCACGAACGGCTTTTTGTTGATTGAGTTATCTCTCTTTAAACTGTTATCTCCCTTGGTTACTCCCCCTGTCGCCACGCGACGGTTACTATGGTGCCTGGCCTTGACCCAAATCAGACCGTACAAGGTGACAAGCGGGGTCGATACCGAAACAAACGCCAGGATAAAAATTCCAGAGTTGACCCTCGGCCAAGTGGTAGCGACGTATTCGTCATCAAACGCGCAGTAGTGACCTTGAACTCCTTCTAGAGTTGTGTTCCTTGTTTGAATACCGTGGACCAGGGCGTATGGCGTAGAGTAAAGAAGGGACAAAACTGTCATAATCACGCAAGATACTCTCGCATGAGTTATGGTTACTTGTCTTCCAAATGGTCGGCAAATCTTTAAGTATCTGGAAAGTAATAAGAGAAAAAGTATAAAATCAACAAATATCAAAAATATTTTTATATTTATATAAATTCGGCCCATTATATAGTTTGTAAACATTCACTGCGGATTGTTTAGGGCTATATTAAAATGAAGCCACCACATTGACCGGTGAAGGAAATTTCTCTTCTAATTTTGTTTACATTAATTTTAGTAAAAATTAAAAAGATTGATATACATTAAAAAATCAATAAATACGTCATTTTCTTAGAAATACTGTATTTGAACATAACAGACATATTTTTTTAAAATATTGACTGCAAGTAATTACCTTAATGATTTAAGACAAACGAATCAGTTATTAACCACAAAGAGCTGGGACATAACCCCCCCCCCCCCCCCTAACTGAGATTATTTTTCACGTCACTTACCGCGTCACAGCCACGGCTATCAAAGCAAGGGATGCAACTGCGTGGGTAGCCGCGTAGGCGAACATTCTCATCTGACAGAGTAGTCTCTGGTCGTAGTCCCACTGATGGAAAAGGTCGTACACGTCACCTGAAACATTGACACAAAAAGTAGAATCATTGAAACATTGACACAAAAAGTAGAATCATTGAAACATTGACACAAAAAGTAGAATCATTAAAACATTGACACAAAAAGTAGAATCATTGAAACATTGACACAAAAAGTAGAATCATTAAAACATTGACACAAAAAGTAGAATCATTAAAACATTGACACAAAAAGTAGAATCATTGAAACATTGACACAAAAAGTAGAATCATTGAAACATTGACACAAAAAGTAGAATCATTGAAACATTGACACAAAAAGTAGAATCATTGAAACATTGACACAAAAAGTAGAATCATTGAAACATTGACACAAAAAGTAGAATCATTGAAACATTGACACAAAAAGTAGTATCATTGAAACATTGACACAAAAAGTAGAATCATTGAAACATTGACACAAAAAGTAGAATCATTGAAACATTGACACAAAAAGTAGAATCATTGAAACATTGACACAAAAAGTAGAATCATTGAAACATTGACACAAAATGTAGAATCATTGAAACATTGACACAAAAAGTAGAATCATTGAAACATTGACACAAAAAGTAGAATCATTGAAACATTGACACAAAAAGTAGAATCATTGAAACATTGACACAAAAAGTAGAATCATTGAAACATTGACACAAAAAGTAGAATCATTGAAACATTGACACAAAAAGTAGAATCATTGAAACATTGACACAAAAAGTAGAATCATTGAAACATTGACAGAAAAAGTAGAATCATTGAAACATTGACACAAAAAGTAGAATCATTGAAACATTGACACAAAAAGTAGAATCATTGAAACATTGACACAAAAAGTAGAATCATTGAAACATTGACATAAAAAGTAGAATCATTGAAACATTGACACAAAAAGTAGAATCATTGAAACATTTACACAAATAGTAGAATCATTGAAACATTGATAACAAAGTAGTCCCACTCAAATATTGACACAAAAAGTAGAACCACTCAAATATTGACACAAAAAGTGAACCACTCAAATATTGACACCAAAAGTAGTTTCACTAAAACATTTATACAAATGAAGATCATTGAAATATTGACACAAAAAGTACACCCATTAAAACATTGACACAAAACGTAGACCCATTGAAACATTGACACAAAAAGTAGAATCATTGAAACATTAACACAAAAAGTAGAATCATTGAAACATTGTCACAAAAAGTAGACCCTTTAAAACATTGACATAAAAAGTAGACCCACTTAATCATTGACGCAAAACGTAGACCCGTTGAAACATTGACACAAACAGTAGATTCACTAAAACATTGACACAAAAGTAGAAACATTGAAACATTAACACAAAAAGTAGACCAACTGCAACATTGACACAAAACGCAGACAAATTGAATTGACACAAAACGTAGAGCCATTGAAACATTAACACAAAAATGTAGTCACACTTACAAATTGACACAAAAAAGTAGTCCCACTGAAACATTGACACAGACGTTAGTCCCATTGAAATATTAATACAAAAGAGTAGAACCACTGAAAAATAAACACCAAACAACCTAAAATACATGTATTATTAACATATTATAAATACATAGTAAATTATCATTTTGGACAAATGTTTAGTTGTACAGAAGAAGTAGAGTTCTTCTGTTTGTCCTATCATTGCTTATGACAGGAATAGTATTCGCCATACTTGATTTATACAGTAAATATTTTGAAACAGGTATAGTTGCAAACATGACATGATTTTAAAGCTAGAGTAGTAAAAGTTAGGATCAGATTTTGTTTAGCAAGTAGGCTTAATTGATTAAATTGTTTGTAGAGGCACTCGCTCACATCATATTTTGTTCAGTAATAGTGATAAATTGAATAGTTTGTTTTCTTACAGTATATTATTCTCTTTTTTTTTTTTAAATTTCTTTCCCACTTAACTTCAGATTTCTGCTTAGAGACTGTAACGAAAAGTACACTTAACCATCGGTGTAATAATATTAATGTTATGTATTTGCTGTTTTTGTATTTGCTGTTTATATACGCTAAACCTTAAATAACTCGCACAAAAGTATTAACATGGATGACAAACAAAGGGACATGACTTCTCTACTTAACGACAACTCACCTGGTATAAGCACGGCACAAGTCAAGAGGTCTGAAACTGCCATCGTCACGATAAAGACTCCGACGGCAGTTTTCGTAAACTTCCGTAAATAAACGAACAGAACCAGGGAATTCCCGATCAAGCCGACGACGGCTAATCCAATTAAAAATATGAGAGAAGGAATCATCAATAGTGTGGTTTCCCTCTGAAGTTGGTTGAGGTAGGCTGTGATGTTCGCTTGAGAGAGGTTGTGAGTCATGATGAGATCTCAGATGTGGGGTAAAAAAAAGTGTGTTGTGGTGAAGTGTTGGTCGGCTTCTTTAGTTCTGATCAGCTTGGTTAAATGTGTGTAATAGCAACAACTCTATCTACAGTATGTATTGATCTGTTGTTGTAAATTAGTTAAAATGAGCCTTTGGACTTCTACAGACTTTGATGTTTATTTGCTGATGCATGATATAAAACGACTATGTATGTTTCTACAGCTTTTTGATCAGCTTTGTTATTGCTGTTTGGTAACATTGAGTCTCTATACTTCTATAGATTTTGATCAGCTTTGTTATTGCTGTTTTGTAGTAACGAGTCTCTATACTTCTACATATTGTTTTTTTTAATGCTGTGTAGCAGCGATGAGCCTATGGATTTCCAGGCTTGATCAGCTTACTTGTTGCTGCGTGAATGCAATGAGTCTGTGGGCTTATTCAGACTGAGATGATATTTATTGCTGCTGTCCTGGAGCAATCATCCTATGAACTTAAAAAAAAAGAATTTTGATCAGATTTGAAACTGTAAAGATGTCATCGAGGGCTGCAGAGGCGTAGCGACCCTTCCCGGCGCCCGGGGACAAACTTTTCGATTTGTGCACCCCCCTCCCTTCGAGATTTCGATTTGCACCCCCCCCCCCCCCCTCAAACTTTCGACTTTCACCCCCCTCAACCTTTCAATTTATTTTTCCAACCCATTTTGGCGCCCCCTAAGGTCGGCGCCCGGGGACATATGTCCCCCCGCCCCCCCCCCCCCCCCTCGCTACGCTACTGGAGGGCTGCATACAATTTCAGTGTTTACCTGAACAATTTTAAACATATAATATGTAAACAGCCATTAACTTATTCCACAATACATTCAGCTTTCTTATTTTGGAAGCTAGAAAATAGTTATAATAATTCAGCTTTTACAAGAAACACGCATGAAAATTGACACAATTTTTAAAATTTTAAAATTTATTTACACTATTAATTAATTTAATGTATTGGAAATTTTAGAAAGGCTAATTTTTTAATCTTTAAAGATAGGTTAACTCGCTTTTCAATATTATCTAAACTTCGCTGCATTAAACATAAGTTCGTCAAATACAGTGCAAATATAATACAGCGTATCTTTTCAACTATTTCTATTAAATTTTTATCGCAAAAAATAATCGGATACTTTAAAACAATACTAATACTATTAGTTAAATGTTTTCTCTACAAAAAAAATCTTTAGTTAAAGCCAGAGATTCTTCCAGGCATCTCTTCGCCCCCCTCCCCTCGAAAAAATTCTACCGCCCCCCCCCCCCCCCCCCCCCCCGGAACGAAATGAAATTCATATAATTTATATAGAAAATATATAATTTTAACAGTGTCCGCCGCCCCCCCCCCCGAAGAAAGTCTACCGCCTCCCCCCCCCCCCCCCCCCGAAAATTTCAAGTGCCCCCCCCCCGGAGAAAAAAGTCTGGAAGAAACACTGGTTAAAGCTTACCAGGTTAGTAGAAATGATAACATTGTCCAATACTTAAAATTAATTCGAATAAATTTCTAGCACAACAGACTCTGAAAATATCCAGTTTTATCAAGGCTCACAAACGTTGTTTTACGTATTTTAACAATAAAACATGTAACACAAAACCAAAATACCCAAGTACTTTTTATACACGATGTAGGCGTTGATAAACTACTCAAAGTCAAGTGCTGTTCCTGTTATGCTGTACAATTATTTTCTCATACACATGTAGATTACGCTCCAAGTACGCGGTTGGTAGGAAATAATGGTAACGTTAGTGAAATAAGTGTTTGGCTGTTAACCCTAAAGTCTCGAGTTCAGATTTCAGCTCGGACTTGTGACTGTAGGACGTCCTTGAGTCCACCCAGCTCTGATGGGTACCTGACACGCTGTATAAAGTAAAGGCGGCTAGGCATAGTGCTGACTACACTATCTCAAGAATCGTATGAACTCAACACCATCTACACCAATAGAATATGTCCGTCAATGATCAATATACATGGGGCAGATGAAGTAGAGTTCACCTGTTTTATTGACCTCGGGATACAGGGTCATAGTCTGGTCGGCACTATACACAGCCGTCTTTGTTGACCTTACTTGAATCAGGTACCCATTAGAGCTGGTTAAACTCCTGAACGTCCTACATAATCGTGCTCGCTCTAGCGCTAATCCACTAAGAAATCGATTAATGGTTAGAAATTTATAACACACATTAACATGTGCAATCCACTCCACGCCGTGATGTTATAGTTTGTTGTATCCATGTTTTAAAGAATGGCTATCCAAACACTACAATACTCAAAGTATATTTTAGGGGTGAATTGCCCCCCTCTGCCGTACCAAACCCGTCTAATGCCTTTGCCCCCCCCCCTCCCCCCCACCCGAATAAAATAGAAGTTATGTCGAAAATATATTCTACGAGTCTCCAATCCTCACCGGAAATAGATTAAAATGCCCCTCCACCTTTTAGAGAAAAAAGGCCTGAAAGAAACACTGACACTAAATATTTTTAACATTCTGAAGCTACACTTTAAGAATGGATAGTGTGGTCTTCTTACTTTTACTAAACCTAAGTTGGATACGTATCACAGCATATTGGATAAAAGCTCAAGATCCGAACCAAAAACTCACAGATTAGAGTCATTCGCGCTACCATCTGGTAACGCCGTACTATACAATAAAATTTGACGTATTATTTTATGACATGATTACAATACTTGCAAATCGAATCCTAATTAAAATCCATTACTCGAGAAGGCCGAAAATCGATTATTTCTTTCCCCACAGGATGTGTCGTCAAGCGTTCTGTTCAACCTTTCGATTAAATTACGAACCGATATTTATTTCGTACCAAAAGTCATCTCTATGAAGTGTTGGAATTCAACACAAAATGTGGCATTAGATAAACTTAAGTGTTTCATTAGAAACTTTAAGTGTGTCATTAAAATATCTTCCTGTCTAGATAATCTTCTACAAACACTGAACATTTTTTTTCTATAAAAACTGAACCACTTAAGCCTTGGTATTCTATACTTTACACTTCCCGGTAACAATGTTACGGTTAAAACCGTCGCACAATTGTAAACTAACTTTATTTTTAATTCATGGACGTCTATTTAAAAACAAACATTGTTTTGTTATGATTCAACACTTAGTCATGTTTCTCTAATGTTAATTTTGTACCTCCTTGAACGACATGGTTATGTTAAAAACGTGGAAAATGTAAAGATGATATCTTATTCCTAGGGAAAGCCGTGGTAGAGGGGTAGAGAGTATTTTGCTAACCAGAAAGTTAAGTGTTCGGGTCCCTGTACATGAGTTTACCCAGCTCTTTTGGATACCTGACTCATGTTGGGGAAAACGAAGACGGCCTAGTATACTGCTGACCACATTATCCCCTAACATGCTGTGGTTCACTCAGCTCTTTTGGATACCTGACTCATGTTGGAGAAATCATAGACGGCCTAGTAAATGCTGACCACACTATCCCCTTACATGCTGTGGTCACATAAATAGGTGAACTCTACTTCACCTGCTCAATGTACTAGATACTTCTATGCTACAGCTTATATATTTTGTTGCTTTCAATTATTTAAATGCTATAAAAAGTGTCATTTTTTCGCAGGAAACTATTATGTGGAGTACACCCCTCATCTCCCAGTTGTTGTATACACAAACCTTTATAAACTATATTCACTTACTACCGTGATGACTGTTCGCGGCCTGCTTTTTTTTTCCCTAAGAAATCTAGTTTGTTAAGAGCTAGATTTCGCTTTAGTCACTGGCGACACTAAGGCGTGTGTATTTCTGTCTTTTCACCAAATGGTGGGGGGAGGGAGGGGATGTCACCCCCACTCCTCATTAAAAGCGTATACTGCTAGAGATTGGTAGCTGGTTTTAAAATGTCCTCCGACTAGTCGTGTGTGGCTACTCGGGGTTCACGCATCAAATACATCCTATCTTAAGTAAAGCCAGCCAAACATCAAACAGGCAGGTTTTTAATAACCATATTTATTTTGATACAGGATTAAAAAAAAATTTGACTCCACTTTGAGACTATACACGACTGCCTTCATTAGTCATTTGCAAAGATAGCGACTTGTAGCTTATACAGTCATTTAACATGAATGCATACAGAAACACCACAGTACCACCTAATATATGTGTGTATATTTACACAAATACTCGGATAAAGTAGTTTTTCTCACACAAGCGGTCAAGAGACTCACACATAACAAAACGCGCATACATAGAAGTAGGCATAAACCTATGCAGACTTGCGCTATCTTTATTTATTTAACAATGAAGCAAAACATACAATCAGAAATAGGATAGTTTCACAGTATAATAAATAAATAACTTTTGCCTTCATATTTTGATATCGTTTAGAAATGTTCTTCGTGTTTGATATTTGAAATTTAATATAAATTTAAAATAAATTTTGTATATATATATGTTACGGTCAAAGCCCGAAGTCGGCCAATGCTAGGATTGGCCGGCCAATCCGCGCATTGGCCAATATCGCCTCCCATAGGTCGGTCAAAGTCCGAAACTTTGCTTGATTTCGGCCTTTGGCCGGCCAATCCGCAGACTGGCCATGGTGGACCGGCCAAAGTCTGAAATAGCTCTTGATTTCGGTCTTTGGCCGGCCAGTCCGCGGACTGGCCATGGTGGACCGGCCAAAGTCTTATATAGAAGATCATCTGGCTAGGGACGACCGGCCAAAGTCCGAATTAGAAGATCATGAGCAGATTTTTTTTTTATGCCGTAAGGATCATAGCAGCTTGTTATTTTTACACTTGCAGCGATTTGTTGTGCACTTAGTTGTGCAATAGCAGCGAGTGTAGCCTTGGCCCCCAGTCAATGATTTTGAAGATGCGATGGTTCGTAGTGATTTTTCTTCAGTGCCAACTGACGACAATAAGAGCAGTTTTTCGTGAAGAATTGAAAACTCACTTTTAGCATACAGTTGTTTTAGAACACCATGTGCCGTTGCTAGTTTGTAGAAACCGCCCTCGACGCTCATGACAACTGCAATCACGCTTCGGGGATCACCGTGACCTCTGTCAACATCTGGAAAACGGATGCGTACATTGTCACCCACTTCACCATCTTTAAATTTTGTATTTGATGTTTTAAGCATCTTAGCACCTTGAGTTTTCAAGCCAGTATGAGCTGCTGACCTGTGTTCCATGATATCTTGTTTGTTGTGACACAATCTGCAGGTAATGTTCCCTCCGTACCCTTCGTCTGCTTCATTGGGTGTTCCACTAATAGCATGGACATCGTTGCCACAGTATCCAAAAGAATGAGCTGCACTACAATGTTTTTCACAAACTATACAGAATCTGTTGGCCACATAATCGTCACGCAAATGGTCTGGACGTTCCGCCACGGGAGTAGATGTGTTAGCTGAGGATGTCGTTGCATTTATGGCAACCTCCATTTCTTGTTCAATGTTCTCAAGATCTTCCTCAGTAACTATTTTATCGAGAGCCCATATATGGAAACTAACATGGATTTACATTTTTTTTTACAGCCATCTGCTATGTCTGTCTCATGGTCTGACGGCCCTTTTGATCCATGTCGCCTTGCATATAGAATGCTATATAAACAAGAGCTAAACAATACGTTACTCTAAATGAAAACGCACCCAGAATAATGAAAATGCGATCACAACTTAGTCTAGATAGAACGTTGGCCAGGACATACTGGCCAGTGCGCGCATTGGCCGGCCAATGTACAAAATACGCTGTCAAGTTTAAGCGCTTCGGACTTTGGCCAGTACGTCCTGGCCAGTGCGCGCATTGGCCGGCCAATGTACGAAATACGATCTTAGTGCTAAGTTCTTCGGGCTTTGGCCAAGAGAGCCGGCCAATGCGCGGATTGGCCGGCCAATCCTAGCATTGGCCGCACTTCGGGCTTTGACCGTAACATATATATATATATATATATATATATATATATATATATATATATATATATATATATATATATATAACCTATCTTTTTGGGCAAGTTAAACGTTTAAAATGTTTTTGACATTCCTTCCTAAACCTGACATCACAAAAACTGTACACAATAGGGTTGACGGCTGTGGTGATAAGATACGATCTATACAAAAGGTGATACAGGCTTTTGACAAAGAAGTTCGAAGATTCTAAAACCCCCGGGGCGAAAGTTTTCAACCCGTTGAACACTAGAAATGGCAGTACAGATAAAATATAGATAGAACTGATGGCTACAAGCATACAGGTGATTCTCCCTGATCCTTGACGTCTCTTTGTTGTCTTGGATTTTCTTTCTAAACTTTTGTTTTCCGGACTACCGGTTTCGTTGATATCGAATGTGCTGAGTGTTTTTGCTCGTTTTAGCGTCGTAGTCTTGTGTTTTTCAAAAGAAGAGTTAACTTGGGAATCGCTGTTATAAGTATTAGAAGAGCTCGATGATTTCTTGAGTATTGACGGGTACTTGATTTGCTCGGGTGATGAATTGCCCGCCGGAGTAAAACGTTCAACACATTCACAGCTTTTAGAGAAAGCTTTACCTGTCGTTAAGATTAACTTTTCTTCTCTTTGTTCGTGGGTTACGACCACCCTATCTCTTACAATAGGCCCAGGAACAGTACCAAAATTGGAAACTAACATTGTATTACGCTTCCAACGTTTAAATTCAAGAAACCGCTTCGGTAATGATGACGTCGGTTCTGGGAATTTGATGTTTTGATCTGTTTGTGGTTCTACATTTACATTTACTAAAACCGAGCCTAAATTCGTGCAGGTGTTGGTTGTAGGTTCAGAAGAAGAAACACCTGCAAAACTGGTCATGTCAGCTTCCTGTTCAAGAACTCCCCTTGCGCATGTGCTTGGTTTCCGGTTATGATGTTGTTTCGCTTTAATCCAAATCCTTACGTACAACACCACAAGAAAGCTAAATACGACTACAATAAAAAGTACAAAAAGTATTGTATTTATTTGATGTAATGCTGTCCCCTTAAAGTTATCGTCAACATCACAGGAGTATCCGAAGATATTTTGGTTTGGTGTTTTCTTCGTCTGGATGCCTTGGGTAACAAAGTATAAGATAGGAAAGACGAACGCTATAACGGAGAGCACAATGCAAGAATTTCTTGCATATTTTACGCTGATTTGACGGCTAAACGGCTTGCATATTTTTCTATACCTAAAATATAAACGTACATTATTCATAACGTTTTTTGTTTGTGTTCAGAAAATATATACAACTATTTTTTTTTTTATTATTAAGTTTAATGTTTTTTTGTTATTATACCTACTCTCTAATTTTTTAAAATACACACAACGTTGAGTTTATAGAGTAATGGTAACGTTTGGAGAAAATCATATTTGAGCAAGAAACGACTTTAAATTTCTTTCGATTTTACTACATACACCATAATATATCCTAAGTTAAATAAATAATATATTTTTTGTCTAATGGGAAAATTCTCAAATATTGAATACATTACCTGGTCAATGCCAAGGCCACTAGGAATGACGAAGATGCCCCGTGGGTCACTGCATGTCCATACAGACGTAACTTGCACAGGTAAGCCATATCAAAATCCCAGTGATGAAACATACTGTGAATGTCTCCTATAAAAGTGGCATAACATTATGTTAAAAACATGTTCGGAATTATTTTGTCAAGATTGGTCGGTATTAATTATTTATTTCATTCTTGGTTCGGGAGATATATTTTGTCGATTATATCGAATAATGACGTAGAATTTAAAAGATCATAATTATATTGATTTTTAGTTCTGAAATAATATCGGAGGAAGCAGTCGTTTTATTTATGACTT